ATCTGTAGTAAAGTATGTTTACCCTCCTCCCTCCCAGATTTAGCACTTATGCTGCAAAACACAATGTCATGGTCAAAGTCTTCCTTCTGGTTAGTTTAAGAAAATGGTAAAACCACATTTTGTGTGACCCGTTTTATAAACTGTTGTTCTACAGTAGTAAGCTTGGTTTGCAGTAATAAGTCACAATTCGCCACAGAGAAGTGCAGAGCAGGAATTCATCATGCATTCTCACTTGAACAAAGTCGCAACAAAGCCATCGCTGTGCTCTCTCATCTGTTCACTGTCAGCTCGGTATCCATCAGCCAGGAGGAAACCTCATCCCCGCTGATTGAGCCGCATTGAGATTCCGCCAGTCAGTATAAGAGTCTGATTTTAAATTGGGCTTTTTCAGTTCATCTGACTGGTGCTTTGTTCCCTCTAATAACGCACTAATATGAGATTGAAACCACAGAGCTTTAGTTGCAAGGCTCCCGATGCTGTTAATGGCTGGTAATATACTTAAGCTTCATAGCTGCTTAGAACTGTGTCCTATAGCCTTCATTTAGCATATAAACATATGAGGCATGTCTTATGTATAAATTTGTCACTAGCCCAATGTGGATAAGAAAGTCAGGTAAAGTTTTGGTTCATAGGGTAACACTTTATAATAACGTTCAGTTGTAAGTGATTTATAAGTGATTAGTTAATGATGAGCTAATCATTTACAAAACATTCATAAGTGGTTAATAAGTGATACGCTAACAATTTGTGTATGTTTTGTTAATTAATTTACAAGTAATTAATAAGTGATATGTTTATATTTTTATCTATGTTTTGTAGATTAAGTTATAAATCATTTACAAGTGATATATGTCAACATTGTACTATTATCTCAATAAACATTTGTTAATCATGAACAAATGATGATTAAACCATTAGTAAATGATTAGTATACAATTCATGTATGTTTCGTTAAAGTTGTAAGCTGGTCTGTTAAAAAAGCACAAAAATGCAATTATGCTAAAACTATTTTTTTTTTGCTGTCAAGTGAATAAACATGAGTCAGGGGATTCCAGTGGGTTGTGTTAAACCCTTTAAGTCATCAGCACAGACTTGTGTTCTGTGTGGAGTGTGTGGGATCTATAGTGTTAATGTTATATATATAATGTTTATGTTAGTGCTATAGTTTAACCCTCCACTGAAGATCACAGCGTTAAAATACTCCATGTGTGTCAGAGAAGACATATACACCCTCACCAGTCAGCCTTTACATTGCAGTACACACTACAAAGTGTTCAAAACCTGTTGTGTAAACGCATGAATAAATCATTTACAAAGCGTTCTGCATCCCCTAATCTAGTGTAAACTACTCATCACTTGTAAATGTGTTACACATCATTTGTAGATTTTTCTTACCTGTTACAAATGATCTGTAGGTGTATACAAGGCATTTACAACACTTTCTGCATCCCCTAATCTAAAGTGTAAACTACTCATCAGTTGTAAATGTTTTACAAACCTTCTGGTAGGTTGTATGTGTGTGTATATACTATACAGAACCTGTAACCGGAAGGTTTGTAAAATATTCATCAAAATATCCCGTCTTATGATCAAGAGAAGAAAGCATACAGGTTTAGAACAACTTGTGGGTGAGTAAATGATGAATTTTCATTTTTGGGTGAACTATCCGTTTAAAGTTCTACACCCTAAAAGTATGTACTCTTTTTGTGAAGAAAAAGAAGATACTTTTAAGTGTGTAGCAGAAGCGTAGCTTTGAGACATACTAACGCATCATAAAAATGTGCTCTGTCACATAGTTACGTGCATTCTGTCACAATAAACGGCCTGTCAATCATCAACGTTTTTATTAATCATTTATTAGGATGTATTCCTAGATTTTGGTGGCAGAATTAAAATGCTTTAAAAGGGAAGTTAAATACATTGTGCATCAAAACTCCACACTCTGTAAACTGTATAATAATTAGAATTCAAATCTATCTGTAAGCTCAAACCCTCCCCAGTGTTGGGCCGTGAAGTCTTTGAACATTTTAACTTGAGGACTTCTGAGCCTTTTCTGTGAAAGTAGGTCAAGTAGCAGGTTTGGTGAGTATGTGTTTGGTATGAGAGAGTGTTTATGTGGATGTGCAGAGTTGAGCTTTGGGATGTCAGATTCATTTAATTGGTTTGGTTTGTGTAAATCATGAAATGATTCTGTGAAGCATTTATGTTGCATTTACAAAACAATATAATATTTATTACAATAATTTTACAGAATAATTTAATATGTATTTAAATCCTGCTGTGCATAACTGTTTTAAAAATAAAGGCTCCAAATAGTGGCTTTGCAGTGCCATAGAAGAACCATTTTGGGGGAACAGTTATTTAAAGAACCATATTTTTCTTATTGGGAAGGAAATTTTAATCAGAATAACCCTTTTCCACTGAAGAACCTTTGTTTTTAAAATTGTGAAACGTTTTTGATTATAATTTTTATATTTAAAAAGTGTCAGCATAATTGGAGGATTTTTATTTTCTGTGTACCTGATAAAAACTGCTCTGCTTTGTGCTCCTTTAAATTTTGAGTAGCTTGTTGCTTGACAAGCTGCATTTTCAAAGTAGCTTACCTGACACTGGTTGTTTTCATTCTCTATTTCTGTCTACCTTCCTCTTGTAAATAATTGAGCTCCTGACTCTAAATGGTCGTGATGATCTGTTTCAGGGTATCTCTTGAGACGTATTCCAAATCTCTTTAAGCTGTCATACAGTGCTTCGTTACTGTGACCTGCAGACCTGACTATGATGTGACTCGTCACATGTGACTGACAAACCGTCATATCAGTCTGTGACAGTTAGTCATTGTCTCTGACAGCTCAACAGCGACTGTTTAAATTATTCAATAACATTTAGCATAAGCATGTCATTTTGGAATGGAGGTCAGTCAGTTTTATTTTCTGTTTGAATGTAACTTTCATCTTTACTGAATAAATTTAATTTACACAATAAAATAGTTTACACAAAATAATAAAGATTAGTGACAGTTTCTACAAAAGCAAGGTATGTTTTTTTATTGATTTTGACATATGCATAAAGCAAGTATTTCATTTGTAAAAATGATTACAGACATTTTTAAAGCATAGAAAGATGCTGAGACATCATTATGATAGTAAGTGAGCTGTAATGATTGACTACAGATGCACAAAACCATCAGATGCACAAAGTAGGTCAAGAAAATGGACCATGCCAAGAAGTATAAATGCGCAAAATATATTTTGTTTACCTAGGTCTGACAGAAGTCAGCCTAGCAGAATGTCTTATAGATTTAGGTGATGGATTGCTTTTTGTTATCTGTTATGAAAACAGTATTTAGTGGGGTTTATTTTGGTCAAATATATAATTTGTAATAGGGCAAAATTTACACTGTGTAATAGTATAAAGGTAATTTGCCTTCTCGTTGAACAATAGTCTTTCTTCAGCATGGTATCTATTAAAGGGGTCATATGATGTTGCTAAAAAGAACATTATTATACATAATTTGCTATTTTAGACACTTTAGCAGTTCATCTATTATTTATCTATTACAAAATCAGTTAATGCACCTGTTTTCCTGGAAAATATGTTCCTGTTGAGAACATTTGTCTGCCATTACCTCATGGAATGACCTCCTACGGTTGAAGTTCTGGAGTGTAGGAGCTGTTGTTGTTGCTAGGGAGGACTGAGCACGAGTGTGCTTTCTCACTGCGTGGAGAATTATCAATGCGTTTATAATTCTGTATGAAAGAATTTCATGATTGAATAAAATATGACTCCAAATCCCATTTGACTGAAGCATTAGAATATGTATTATGCCATGGATTTTTTTAAACCTGGAAAATCCGTTTAAGAAATTGTGTTAGCACCACAACAATTTTTCAAGAACCAAATTTGCACCTTACATTGCTTTATTAAGGATTATCTAATACAATGTTTAACTTGAAAATTGAAATTGCTTAATTAACAGTCAATTAGACTAATCAACCAAATTATTACACTCTATTCATTGATACCAACTTGCCCCTAATTATAGTACTATTTCTCTTTAAGGTGAACAAAGAGATTCTGCACAAAGAGAGGATTTGTGGTTCTCAAAACATACTACCATCAAAAAATTTTATGGGTATAAAATTAGAATATTGTACATGAACGTGTCTGTTTATGTCTACATTATTTCTTATTTGTATTTCTGTTACAGGTTCTATGTCAAGACATTTCTAAATCTGTTGTTGTTTACCCACCTTGACATGTTGAAGACAACTCCTGATGTCATCTTCTCAAAATCAGTATCTCACATAACAGTGTGAAAGATGTCAATACTTACTTTAGCTTTAAGTTTGAAAGCGGTGAGAGCTCCAGACCTCAAGGGAGGATCAACAAGACTCTACATGAAAGCTTGAGAACACATGAACCTTCAGGAAACATGAGTGTGAATGATGAACACACCAGACCCTTCGGGACCAGCAATAAAGATGGCTGTAAGGAAATCAGGAACAACAACAGACATACTGAAGATTCCCTAGATGGTGATGCCAATGCTAATGAAATCCAAAGAGGAGATAAAGGAACAACTTTGGAGTCAACTGAAACCCTGTCCTCTGTGGTATCTCACACTGAGGAACAGGTGAAGATGATTATCCAGGGCACAGATTCCCCATGTGATGACCCAGAGTTAGCTGAGTTTGAGATGCTGGAAAGTCAGGAACTAGTGGATGACGAAGAGAGCAGTATTCCTAAAGGAGATGTCAGGGGTGCTCTATCCACCAATATGATGCAGACTGAAGCAATGTCTCCGAAGGTAGAAGGTAAAAGGTTCTCCCAGTTCATTTCAAAGGAGCAAGAGTCTACTGTTTGTCCTAAGTCCACTAGCAAAGAAATGGTGACCAGCATAGCAAGGACTGTGTTTAGCTCTGAAAATGATGTTTTTGTCTCTTGCCTCTCCACAATGTCTAGTCTTGGAGGAAGTCTTGCTAGTGCCCTGGACAATGCAGGTCGAACCCAAAGCTCTGATTCGTGGCATGCTCCCTCAGGGCCATACCGAACTCTCTCTGAGGACCTTACCCTTGCCTCACAGTCCTGTTTAACTATTTCAGATAAAAGTCGGAGCTCTGTACATACTGATGGCATGCATCATCAAGCAGGAAAAAGTACAATGCACATCTACAGTGTTGATCTCAATCTTAACTCTACCACATTGCCTGAGGAACCCCTTTTAGAAGCACAAGAAAACCAACCAGCTACAGACTTTGTAATATACGAGAACTCAGGTCAACTGACAAATGGCATGAGTGATTGTAGCATTGCAAGGATCAAGAAGGTCCCTAATGAATCAGGAAGTACCAGTCAGGACAATCTAGGAGAATCTGGAATTCATGTAAAGGAGTACCATGGAACAGAAGACAAGGCTCCAACTTTAAAAACAATATCAACTGAGAAGAAACATTGCCAACATCTTGTCTCAGAAAACACACAGTCTGCTTCACAGAACAGAAGGTTCTCTCATGATTCCGCCGCTGATATAAATAATAAACTCAAATCCCAGGATGAGGAATCTCATAAAATTGCTCTTAAAACCTCAAAACTAACCTCAAAGGATACACCTGTGCACTCTGGTGGTTCTGAACCCCAACCATATAAGAAGCAATCTTCTTTTGAAAAGACCCGAAGTTCTAGTGCATCAAGTTTGGAAAGGCGAAGACCTTGGGGCAGCCCATCTCGCCCTGAGACCCCTCCATCCCCTAAGACCACCTGTTCACCTCGGAAACAGCCTCCTTCATCACCAGCCAAACCTATTAGCACAAGAGAAGCAAGTCAGGAACGAAATGAAACCTTACAGAGGGAAACAACTGGTTTGAGGCAACCAAGTAAAAGTTTTCTCGGTAGTAGTAGCAGTCTCCCAAAACCTGCTGTTCCTCAACAACCCACTAGAGCTGAGTTTGAATCTAAGAAGTCTTCTCCACCTCAGAAGCCCAAAAATGTTCGACCAAAAATCATAACATATGTCCGCAAAAGCCCTCAAGCTAAACCAATGTCTGAAGGTCCCTATGAAGTATCGACGTTACCGCCAAGACTTACACCTTACAGTAGCTTACCAACCTCAAAAGAGTCTAAGGCCGAGGGGTCCAGAGGTTCACCTGTGCTGAGCTCCTCTAATATCCTTTATGACAAGTATCGTCAGGAAGTACAGAGGTCAGGGTACTACTCCCCTCCAGGACTGATGGCGTCTGGGATCAGGCCACCCAGCCACACTGTCCCCCATAAACTGGTGGGCAAATCAGAGAGTTTCCACGGGGAACTGCCAGATCAATATTTACAGGTAGGACTTGTGTATTAAGAGATTCTCAGCTGCTAACACAGCACTACTGAACTCTAGTAGATGTGTTGTGCTTGTGAAAGCATGAGCAGTAAGCATAATTTATGAATACTCTCAACTGCTTTATTAAATTTGTGGTAACAAAGACATCAATGGATGCTTCTTACGGTTTCAGGGTGGTAGAGTGGTTCAGCTAAATACCTATGATGCTGCTGCTGCCGTTTTCCGCTTTCCGAGAGCCTTAAGGCCTCAGCTTGGCCACGGAGCTGTCACTAGACAGCCTGCTACTAAGAACAGGACGGTATTACCAGGTCAAAGGTCAGCGTCACCCCTCAGTTATACGGCTCCAGCTGTTCAGGCCCCAAGTAGTCACCAGGAACCTGCAGGTCAGTAAGGCACTAAAACCTTCGAAGTCAAGTTCCCAGTTGTCAGTTGACTTTCTTCAGAATGTGCAATGTTTAATTAAGCAGAATTGATTTGTATTAGACATTTTCTTAAAATATAGCTCATGAAGCTAGACAAGAATCTAAATGATTATCTACACAGCTCTATACTGCCAGTACCCAGAATCAGACTCATTTCTTAGCGTAATGGCCACACACAGACATTCCATCAGCTGAGGTTATGAACTGCAGTCATTTTGGTTCTAGAATTGTATTGATTCTTACAGATGCTCCATTTCTCTTTGAAATGTAAAATCCATGATGGCAAGAAGACTGCGAAGATAACTTGTCACATATTTACAGCTTTTACATGTTTTTAAATCACTTCGGCGAGTGAAAGTGTGACTTTGGGGAACCCTGCTGGAACTTAATTATCTTACATTTAGATATAACTCTTTTAAATGTGATCTTAAGTTTAGCCTCTCCTTATTCTTCTTTTGCCAGTCAGTAGTATTAAATATCACCATGTCCTGGAAAATGCAGAAATTAATAAATCAGCCATTCAGAATACTTAATCTCGCAAAAGGATCACTAAAATTGTCAGAATTGTGAAATGAAAATATCTACACCCTTTAAAACTCTACTTTTTACTGGTTGTTGATGAGCTGTATACAAACTACATATATATATCTATCCATAATGACAGGTATTTAAAAAAGTGCTCTCTTAGACCAATGCTCCTTTGCATACACCATAAGTGGGCAAAGATTCACACTCCTAAGTTCTTTTGTGTCCGGAATTTAAGTTGCAAGAACTATTTAACATTTAAAAATGAGCATTTTTAAACATTTGTGTACCGTTTCTTTTTCTTCTCCTTATATGGTATGGTACATTGTGTTAGTTCTGTCATGACAACTCTTGGAAAGTTTAGCATGGTAATATACATGGCAATGTTAATGTGTTTGGTCTTGGAGGAATAGATCTGCTACGCTGCTGCTGCGGTATAGCAAGTACCGAGATTTGCTACTGCTAATACATCCACAGACATGCTGCTGTGAGCATGTAAGAAATACTGCTGCTGCATATACAGTATAATGTACATAAAATTACCCCCGCATCTATAGCATACATGAAATGACCCCATAGCAGATCTATACAGGTGGAGTTGGGGAGGGTGGAGGGTTTCTGAATCACACTGCAAACTGCTATATAGCCAACACTGGCTTAGTATTTGAATGTTGAGCAGCAAGCTCATTGGCTGATGATGCAACTAAAACTAATCAGCCATGTGATTAAAGATGTGATTATATCAGATTGAGCTAGAACCTATCGGCCTGTGCCATCTAAAGTTTCATGACAGAATGTTGTATTATCATGATTTGATGTATTTATTTTATTTATTTTAATGGTTTGTAGAAAGTATTCCAAGCCATGATATCTATAAATAAACTTATGAGATTTGTTTGAGGGAATATTATGATTTGTCTTCTGCTTTACAGTGGATCAGAAGAGACTAGCATTGGGTGTGGCCCCCAAATTTATGCTCCCCAAACCGGGTCAATCTGGACTGCATCCTCCCGGCTTCTCCCATCTGCCTCCTGCTCGACTGGCCACCTTTGGCTTTGTCCGCAGTGCTAGCGTGTCTTCTGTGTCCAGCAACCAATCGAATGACAGCATGCACAGTGACCCCTGCCGATCCAACCGTGAGTGTTACAACTCTTTCTGTCATAAAACTATTGTCGGCCACATGCAAAACACACAGATGTCACAGACAGGGACACCTGAGTTTAACAGTTCTGGGTTCAACAGATTTGTAGGCTTCTGCTAGTTGTGATGTTTATTGTACTGTTTGTACCTTTAAGCTCTTGTTAGAATGAATTTCCTGTTGCGAATGAATGTTTTGCGTGACAGTCTAAATTCTCAAAAGTGTAGGAATTACCAAAGCGGCCCATTCTCAGACCACATGCTTTAGTACTCGTATTGTGTCAGGATTAGTTTAGGCCTTTTGGATTATCTAACTCTTCCTGTCATAAGCCTTCTGCCTGGTAGATACAAAGTACAATCAATGTCTACAACACCCTGCTGGTAGTCTGTGCAAAACGAGGCATCTCAAAACATAAGACAAATAGAGCAGTGTATTCCAGTCTTTTAAAATGGAATTTACTTAATATCGAAATCCCAGTAAGTCTGAAATATCATCCATGATTAAAGCAGACATCATAATAGTCATTTTAAATTTCAGACCATCTGTCATAAGACATGTTATATTACTTATTGCAGAATTGCATTGAGTTCAATGGATTTTAAGTGTTTTTTTATGAAGCTGGAGAAATATAGAGACTGTGCGTGTTGTTTTATAATTGTATTTGCCTGTGCTGTGGTGAGCTGAGATATTTGAAACGATAAACATAAACAGTGTTGTTGTGAAGAAGAAGTGCAAGTGAAACATAAAAAGAGCATTACTGCAGAAATCTGCCTCTGTCTGGTGTCTATGCACCTATTATATTCATAGGCAGGAAGCACTAATCTACAGATTTTTCTAGAAAACAAAAGTTGTGTTATGATTCTCCTGTCTTTTTTCTGTTTTCATTTCACTAAATGACTAAATGAACAGATCTGATCGTTATAACCAGACATTATCTACGTTATCTGGCAAACTGTGCTACTGCAGCATATGATTGCATTGTAGTCATTCATTTAGATCAGATTCTTTACACGTATACAATAAATTAGGTCAGACTGGTTTTGTGGTCCAGGGTCACATATCTAAATCTCTTTCCTTCTTCCAAGTAGCTGATTGCTGCTTGAGAAATCTGCATTAATACTGAAATTGTTTTTTTTCTTGCTGAATCAAGGCTGTTTCATGCCTCGAGCATGAGCTTGCAAAATTTAAAGCATCTTGGGCTGCCTCTTTAACTGCCACACAAGCTGTCCTTCCTCAGTTTCACAATTTTTCAGGGAGCTACCATACTTTCCAAAACTTCTTGTTTTTCCCCTCACATTCACAATCAAGGTTTTGAGTGACTACCTCGGTACAGTTGGTTAAAACTACTTGCTGTGCATCATAAATTATTTTTAAAGGCTACACACAATTTTCTATGATATAAAAATAATGCTCTCAATATGGGGAAATTTTCAATTCAATTCTCAAAGATTCAGTCTCCCTGCAGAATATCCAATTTTGACCCCAAGGGTTAGCTGTTTTAATGAGTGATCCTGTCATCTTCTTGTAGTAGCTGATAACAAAAATACAGTCAAAATAAAATTATACCTCAGTGTGGATATTGTAGTCTAATATATTTTAGAATTTTGAACAAAATAATATTATAATGCTAAAAAATGCGAAGAATGGAATGTTTAATTTTACCATCTTTTGCTTCGGTTATGTCATGTCATATGTCATATAATTTAAAAGAGATTATCAATATGTTTTCAGGTTTTGCAGAGTAAAAAACACACCTTATATTTAAATTAACATCGGACATGACCTTTTGTAATATGAATAGTTAGGCTGACAGAGAAGATTTCAGAATTAGAGACACGCATCGTACATTTTGTACCGTAAATATATCAAAACGTAATTTTTGATTATTAATATGCGTTGCTAAGTGTTGCTATGCATTGCTAATATACATCCTAACAAACCATACTTCAATGTATACATACATACTGTAAAGTGCTGTACATTCACTCCCCCCACCTACAATCCCTGCCGGTACAAGACTCGAACCCATAACCTTTGGGTTACGAGTCCGACTCTCTAACCATTAGGCCACAACTTTCCCTAAAGTTGCTAGCATGGTCCAGTTAGCCATTTGCAAAAAGTCTTTTTTCTCTCTCTCTCTATTAATGACCATTCGAAACAGCTAGACCCTACTTTTCATGAACTTTTCATGAATTGGACATTGCTACTTATAATTATAAGCATTTAATCGAAAATATGAGGCACACAACTTAACTGACTCTGTACAGTAAGTTTGTCCAGGAATTATAAGCCTCTTTAATATTTCTATTTCAACAAGAATTCGAGGCAGGGCATATAGAAGGGCCCGTCCTTACATTCAAGGCTTGAGTGTCCTCTTATTCATTTATAGACTATTTCACTGCAGCCATTACCTCAAGACTGCAGATAAATGCTGAGTCTAGCAAACAGTGTCACTAAACTGCTGAGTGTAATGTATGTGTTCTCACAGTACAGAGACTGTGATTCTCTCTCTCTTTCTTTCTCTCTCAGGTTTATAGTTGACTTTTCTTGTACTGTAAGTACAGTGTGTTAATAAACCACACCCTTGTTTAGCATCCCATTATGACATCAGCAGACGTCCCGACATGTCTGATGCTATAGTGGGGACACATTTGTCTCTCAGCTCAGACAGCTGAGGGGTCAACAGTGGCGCCTTCGCGTCCCAATTTTATGTCCCCTCTTAAAAACCCAAAGACTCCTGGCTTGTTATTTAAATCCAGAGACTTGTACATGCATGTGGCATTTTTGTTCGATGCCGTGCTCGGTAGATAAAACATAAAGGACAGCTGTCGACCCTACCCAAGTTAGAGTGTCCACAACTAGGCCTGAGTCACCACTTTCACTCTTATTTCCTCTCTGGGAAAGTGGAGGAGTTAAAGAGGAGTTGGGCTTCTACTATTTTGCAAAGGTTTTAAGTTAAAGTTTAGTCTTTAAGTCTTCCCATCATACAGTATAATTCATCTTTAAGACTCGTTGTTGATTTGGAGCTTTTTGGCAACTCTGTGGAGTTTTAATATCAGATTGACTTTATGAAAGCAGATGATGTTTATTGTCATCTCAAGTCTGGATCCTGGATGTGTTTCCTCTACTAACGGACGAATTGGCAGCACAAATGTTTTCATTACTGGGGTATTTTGTACCACTTTTCACGTTCGTTTTAAAAAGGGATATTGAAAAGCAAGACCTGCACCCATGTAAGTGTTGTCTGTGATTTATTAATGTCACATACATTTTTAAAGATGTCCATCTGACTTAGTCGAATGAAATAAGCCACATTGTCAGTGATTATTAAAAGCTTTTATTAATATTTAAATGTTTTTTATTTTAAAATATATTAAAAAATGTTGATCTTTAAGGTTGTCCCATGTCATGTTTAGCTCACTATAGATTTTTTTTATAATTTAAGTTTAAATTTCCATTATTTTCTAGGTGTGTGGAAAAAAAGTTATATTTGCAGTTTAAGGATAAGTCTGCTGATTTTCAACCGGATTTGTATTGTTGTCTGAAGTATATTTAAATGAACAATGAGTGCTGTTTCTCCATGTTACCTGCACCAAGATCTACTTGTTCATTTAGATGCATTGTATTCCTGCTCACAGAGATGGGTGGTGCCAAAATCAAAAGTGCATTATGGGTGTTCAATTATTATTATTATTTTTTTTGTCAAAAGGAAATGCCAGAGCCCCTTTTCTCTGTTGCTTGTTTTTATACTTTTTTTATTAACAGTATTGTACGGTGGCTGAGAGAGCTCAATGCGCTGCAAATGAAAAAACACATGCAAATTAAGAAAACATCTTCATCAATTTGACATATTGAAGTATTGAATAAACAGTATCGATATATTAAATTAACTAACCATTTTTGTGTCCAGAAGTTTCAAGAATTGTTTGTTCTTTCATGAAAGCAATAGTTACTGAGGAGGGGAAAAAATTTAAATATTACTTCAGATTACATCTTATTTAATGTCGTTTTATTGTTTACATTTAGATTAGAGTTTTTAATCTATTTTAATACGATTTTAATATATTAATAAGAATTTCTAGAAAGAAACGTACTGTTCCTTCATATAAGACAGTAAAATCTTTAATGCTGCATCATAAATAATGCACATGTCCCATCAGTCCACCTCCTGCTGAGATGGACACAGTCATTCTTCTGACAACATTTGGAGCATTTTTTTTCCTCTGCATTTTTAAAACCATGGGATGTTTTTACTCCTATATTTATTACAAGTTACTCAAATTGCATTGCTCGTGCATTTATTTATTTTATTTTTTTTACTACAGAATCCTTTGGCCAGTGCATCACATGCGCCATAAACACTGTGTTTAAGGGTAATGATATTATGAATGGTACAAGGTTTCAAACATTTAAATAGACAAATCAAATAGCAGAAAATGTGTATGATTCAGTACCTTAGTTGATATTACCCTTGGCTCTGATTTGTTAGAGACGCACAGTGACGACAGCGTGACTGTTTGATGTGCCATCATGATGTGCTCATTTAATTCATAAGGTTTACACTCACTTACTCTAACTTCACACACTCATTATTGAGTAGTACTTTTAGAGATTAATGTATAATATCACGCTGTTCCCGGGCTCACCTGTCATTGGTTAAATTCATTATTTGTTTTGAAGCCATTATCTGTGCTTTACCGAGTAAGGTATTCGGCTTTGGTCATAACCTGTAGCACACACAACAACAACAACCCTGTATTATGTATAGTTAAATCCTTGACAACTTTACACTTGACTTCATTGATCTCAATCAGTGTCCCATTAATCATGATTTGAGTCACATTTATCTCACCTTGCATCCACTTTGCAATTACTTTTTGGGGCTGTAGTAGGATGTGTGAGCTTGAAGGAGGATGCGCCAGCATTTTCAAGACCTTTGTTAAATCAGGAAAGCTGGCTAGAAATCCATTATAAATCTGAGATGAACAGACTATATGGGAAGTTGAAGACAACACGTCTGCGGTGTCAGCAGAACATTGCATATAACTCTGTACACCACCATTAGTTTGCAGCACATAATTGAGCTCAGGAACTTCTATAAAAATAATAATAATAATAATAAATTCAGTAGTTCACCCAAAAAAATTACAATTCTGTTATGTTTTACTCAACTTCATGTTGTCCCAAACTCATATGACTTCATTGTATGGATAAAAGAAAGTCATACGGGCAAGTAACGATGTGAGGGTGAGTAAATGATAGCAATCTTCATTCTTGGATGAAATATGGATGCTGGTATGAGAGTTAACAACTTATATACATACATATATATATACACACATACACTATATTGCCAAAAGTATTGGGACACCCCCTTCTAATGAACAGGTTTGACTACTTTAGTCATTTCAATGAGTACAAATCTTAATGTTTAAGCATATAATGATATTCTAGGGAATTTTGGACAGTTTGGACAGGACTCTTTTCTATTCTAACATGACAGTGCCTCTGTGTATATGGCAAGGTTCAAAAAGAAAAGATTGATTTAGTCAGTGTGGAAGAACTTGACTGATCTGCATAAAACCAAGTCCTAATCCCAGCTGAACATCTCTGGTGTGACTTTAAATGCATACCTTGATCCAGAAACTTATC